CCACAAAGGAATGGGTAGAGGAAAACAGGGTGAGACAGGAAGGAAACGGAATGCATTGCCTTATATTATCCTCTGAATGTGCCATCATCGCCGGAAAAGGGGGCGATTCACGCAACCGTGGGTCACTGCAGATAACCCTTGGCATTATGCAACCTTGGAGATGTGAGTGTTTTTATTCAGTTGCTCTCTCCGCAGCCCACTCACTTCTGTTTTGTCTTTGAGTCCTGTCTCTGGTTCTCTGGTGTCCATAGCAACAATCGCTGAAAAGTTTTTTTTTCTCTCTCTTTGCAGTCTAATCACATGGCGAGTGAACAGATTGCTGCTGTGGGGAGGGTGTGTGTAGGGGTGGGGGGTGGTTGTGGTTAGGGGGCAAGTCTTTGACCATTAAAACACCTTTCAGCCTGGGTTCAGTTGGGTCAGAAGGTTGTTGGGTTAGAGCCTCCAACACTGGAGCTTACAATCCAGGTTGACCCTACAGTGGGGCGCTGAAGAGAGACACTTTGTTCGAGGTGCCTTCTTGTGGCCGAGACGTTAAAGCAATGTCCCAGATGATGATAAAGATTCCACTGAACCCGACTGATGACCAAGACGTGTAGGGAAGAATGAAACCAGAACGAATGGTTGCAAATCTAAACAGAGACTGATACCAAGCACAACACTGACACCTACCTACAGAGCGCACAAAAGGCACGACTAGAGTAGGAACACGTCACTAAATATTAAGACAGGATCAAAGTCAAGAAGGTACCTTGATACACAAAGAACTACCGTTTCAATTATTAACATGCTTTTACACCTATGCCGAAAGCTCATTAGCTCTCATTCAGAAGCTGTCATAAACACACAGCTTTGCTGGTTTGCACGGGAAAGACCAGAGGATGACAGTCTGACAGGAACGCAGTCATCGGGAAGACTTGTTGTTCATTCCCGTTTGTTAATGACAATAACAACAACAAATTACACGTGTACAGTGCCTTTCGGGTCGGGAGGACGTCCCAAGGCGCTGGACAGTCAGGGATTCGGACCCGAGCTGGGTGGGGGGGTGGGTTGGGATAACAAGGCAATCGGACAAGGTCACGGCCTTTTGGAAAAGGGAAATTTCCGATCGCGTTAAGTTAACCTAAGGCGTGCGGGTGCGAGCCTGCGACAGAACTAAACGGAAGGTTTGAGGAACCTTTGATGATATTTGAAACCGCAAATGTTTTTTTTTCCTCTTTCAGCAAATAAAGCTTGAAATTGTGAATCAGCTCTCGGCTTTATATATAGATGCAACCGTGCTCTCTGAGGATCGTGCGAAGGGCATTAAACGGTGATTGGAGGAGAGAGGCACCAGGGCTGGTAAAAAAGGTTTATTTGGACGGCGTGACAAAGCCAGTGGAAAGCTGCTCTGAGAGATTGCAGGTTTTTTTGCATTAAGAGCTTCTTGGTGTAACAGAACGAATTTGAAAATGAACCGATCTCTAAAAATAAACACAAGAGGATAGTTGCCCTTTGAAGGATAAAACCAGAATGCATTGGAGCCCCAACCCCCTCCCACACCACCATCCCCCACCCTCCCCCCACCCCCCCACCTTCAAATAAAAATGACGCAACTGTCAACAAAAATGTACCTTTTCAACAAAAGCTTACCCGGCAGCGGCACCTCTCTGGAGCAGAAGGTTGTGGGTTTAAGCCCCACATGGGGTCTTGAGCTTGCAAAATGACAACAACAAATTATTTGTATAGTGACTTTCAGGTTGGGAGCACGTCCCAAAGCGCTGGACAGTCAGGGATTTGGACCCGAACTGGGGGTTGGGATCAGGAATGGTGGAGGACAGGGAGAGGAGGGTAGGGGTTAGGAGGGTGACCAAAGGCACCCTCGAAGAGGAGGGTCTTGAGTTGGGCTTTGAAGGAGGCAAGGTGAGGTGAAGGGACTGTGGGATGGCGTTCCAAAGGGTGGGGGCAGAAAGGTTGAAGGCTGATGGGGGGGTGGGGGGGGTGGGGGGAGCAGGCGGGGATGTGGGGTAGGTCAAAGCTCGCTGAGCGGACATCCTAGCACAGCACTGGGATTTGTGGGGAGAGTGGTGTGATGCCATCCTTCAGATGAAGTGCTCAACGACTCCTTATTCTTCTGTTGCACATTAAATACCTTGGATTACAGTAGGAATAAGAGGAGGGAGTTTTTCCCTGTGACCTGGCCAACAGTCCCCAGATGAAATGGTCATTCGCTTCAAAGCTGGTGTGGAACCTTGCTGGTGCGTGCGGCTGCTCTATTGAAAGTCTTGTCAAATATATATATATATATACATATAAAATATTTTAACTTGAGCGCAAAATGTCAAATTAAAAGAGATGTCCTGCAAACATTCACGAAGCAAATGACTGGTTTTATCTGGAGATGTTATTCAGCCAGGATACCAGGAGAAAGTCTAGTCAAAAATGAAGTATATTAATTTGATCACCAAAAAAAGGTTAACTCAGGCGAAGAAAAAACTCTCTGTATATGTGATTAAATGAAAGTGAACCGTGTTACATTAACATCAGCAATTTCAAGGCAGTCTTTACTCGGTTGAACTTGCTACCTTCTCAGAATAAGCCCTACTGCCCCATCTAGTGACTATCAGTTGTAAAAGACACAAATAGTGACAGAATGCTTCTCTCTCGGTCTTTGACAACCGTTCCATTTGAGGTCACATCACCGAAAAGTGTTTTCGCAGGAATTTTGACTGTAAAGTGGAGCAACTGTAAAGTGTACTTTTGTAAGTAAACACAGCAGCAATGTCCCCCACACGCAGCCACGAAGCAAACGACTTGGTTTTATCGGAGTATTGTCGGCCAGGACACCGGGGGAAACTCCCCCTTCTCCCTTTGAATAGCGCTATGGGATCTTTAACGTCCACCAGATGTGGACCTCAGTGTTGCGTCTCGGTGTCTGTAAGTCAGGCGTGGGGAGGGATTGAACCCATGACCGCCCGTTCCAAAGGCAAGAGCACAGGCAACTGAGCCAAGCTGACACCTCTCACATCCACCTCAGAAATATTTTAAGCCACAGGGACACATCACAAAAACAAATGGGTCCCTGGTAAAACTTTACAAGAGGGGTGTCTTGCACTCACCTGGAAGAATTGCCAATATCTCGTACCAACTCCAGACTCAACTTTCTCATTGTTTGGGTTCAGACCAACAGAGAAACCGGGGACTACGACTGGTGTCTTGTGAGGACATGTATCCCAGTCTCTAGCTGGAGCCGAGCCTGAACCCAGCTCCCACAGGTTAAAGGGTCTTTTAAACAAGAGATGACTGAGTCAGCTTTGCAATACTTTAGTCTCACCTGTTGTGCAAGAACACACATCACTGTGAGTTGGGGGAAGTCAACGGGAGCCTCTGTACCTGAATTCAAGATGAGATAAACCAATAGTTATCACAATGTTGCAGCCTACTTCTCTGTCTCACCTTCCTCTCTTTACATCTTTTAAGTCCAGCCTTTCTAAACGTGCCTTTATGTCCACCGCCCTTTCTCAGCGTTCAGCCATATTCCTGAAAAGCGTTCTGAGATGTTACCCTACGTGAAGGGCGATGCATAAATACGAGCTGTTGCTAAAACTTGGCAGCCTGTAATGCAAGACACTGAGTGCAGTATTAATAGACAGTCCCTAGATGTCACCAAGACATTTAATAAACATCATTTAATTATAATTCAGAGAGACAGGGAGAGTGGTACTGCAGTTATCTCCGAGGTGGGGTGGGCGGTGGGGGAAGAAATACACTACATTGTCAGCAGTGTCATCTTTCAGGTGGGATGTCCAAGTCCAGGTCCCATGGTGTTAACGACTTTCTACGGTGTTAACGACTTTCCTGGCATTATTCAAAAGGAGGAGGGAGTTTCTTTTTAGTGTCCTGGCTCACAATCCTCCAGAGTAGCTCTGAGACACTACTCTGCGTGAGGGGCTCTATATAAATCCAAGTTGTTGTTGTTGAGCAATGCTTCATTCATCTCATTGCTGTTTGTGGGCCTTTGCCAGGAATTCGTTCCCCCTCAGTTTCCCAACTAAAAACAGTCACTACAACTTCGCAATAATTGCCTAATTTGTGACACTGTGATCTGATAAAGTGCTATATACCGCGTCAGAAAAACACAAGCGCTTGTAACAAAGCACAAAAAAACAACGATACACGTTCTGATTTTCACGTGGAACGGGCGCTGGGAGAAAACTTCGAAATGTTCTGCTTTTAAACCACGTTAAAAAAAACACACACAAATATTTTCAGAACCAAAGGACAGAGAAACTTTTTTTCCTTTCTTCGTTCGTCGGTTGGCCCAAATACTGTAGAGAGCTTGATCAGCAAACCAGCAGATGAAAAATGAGGAATTTTCACACAAATCTGGGAAGATTTTGCACCACGGAACGTTGCTGGCCAAGATAGAGACAATTGCCTTTCCTGGGACGGAAAGGTCATCTATTCATAGCGACGCCAAAGCAGGGACTGATATTCTTGCTCATCCTAATTGAGTGCGCTCTCAGATTCCCACAGAGTCTAATGTTAAATTTATCATTTTTCGATTGATTTTTTTTTAGGGCTCTTAGAAATTTGCAGCTGGTTATCGGGAACTGGATTTCTTGTTTCAGCTCGCAACCCTGAAAGCTGCCAAGCTCGTCCGTCCATCCGTCTGTCTTGTCTAGTCAGGAAGAGGTCAAGTTAAAACCATGGATCACTAATGTCCCCTCGCCCTTGCAAAAGGGCCAATACGCACGGTCTCTGGGATTTCTAAGGTAAAATTTGCTGTATTCCTTATTCAGTGCAGGTGCAATCTATCACCAGCTACGGGCAGACCAGCCTCTCCAGGTAAGTGGAGTCCTGCAGCTTAGTGGTTATAGCACTCGCCTCGCAAGCGAGAGGACCTGAGTTTGATAAAAGGACACAACGACAACATAAAAGAGACATTGAAAATTACACCAGAGCTGATGTAGATGCCATGTCGTGACGACCCCCCCCGACCCCCAAAAAACAGCACAGAGACATTTTTTGGACCATAAGTTACTTTTATTCAGAGTCCTTGGAATACAAGACTATGTCAAGCCACACGCCATGATTTACGCCTGTTCAGATACTTGTAAGTCTGTATCAAAAGTGCACTTTGTAAGAGGTTTTCAGTCTGCGTCATGTCTCTTGCAAACACCTTTCAAATCACACACCTTATTATTTGTTTGTAAAAATGTTTGAACTCAAAATACAAAAGACACGTCTCTGGTGACCTGAATTAACTTCCCAATGCAGGAACTGGAGTGTTGGGTCCGGGCGCGTTTAACACTGAATTCGGTCCACCACTGGTGAACAACGGAGCTGTTCAAACGCCAGTGAGTAGGGGAAGCTTTCTGTAACCAATGCAACAACGAATTCTAAGTTGTATGGAAAACAAGTGGGAAATGGGATTCAAAGGTCTGCAATGATATAATAAGATGACAGAACGGGATTATTAATAGGTTGAATGGCCCTTCTGCTCCGAGACCAAGGAAAGCAGTGGAAAGTAAATGGGGTTATGAATGTAACCGCTACATTTGCAAAAGAAATAGTCATGGGATCTTGGGAATATCTTTTCCCCCCCAAGAACCTACAATAGACACATAATTGTGTGGCTTCTCGCAAGTAAACAAACAGACACAGCAGCACCAGTTGTAAAAAGTAGCCCTGATCACCCGATCAACCGATTTACTTTCAACACTTCCCTCTCTTAAGCAAAATCATTCCAAGAGCAGTCATAATGTAATTCAGCTCCACTGTTCTGGGAGCGCGAGAGAGAGAGAAAATATTTTACAAAGCACGTCGTTCAACAAGTCAAGAAAATCTCTCGTTAAAAAAAACAAAACCTTTAGCGTTTTAGAGTTTGCATTTAAAAACAATCAATGCTTTTGTCACGTCAAACCCTTAACGCTGAAATCAATGCGTTTTTTTTAAAAAAAAAAACACATCGGTGGGAACATTTACAGTCGTGTCTGCAAGCACCTCTTTTTAATAAAAAAATAAAAAGCAAAGTTATTGTACTGAGCGACCAGTTTTGAAAACTTTTGTATTTCTTTCAATTTTAAAAAAAATTAAGCTTTCTGTAACTAATGCTGATATGAGTACTGAGGGGTATGGAAAACAGGTGGGGAAATGGAATTCAAAAACCCTGCAACGATCTAATAAGATGACGGAACAGGATGAATAGGCTGAACGGTCTCCTGCTCCGAGATCAAGGTAAGCAGCTGAAAGTAAAACATTTTTTAAATAAAAAAAAAAGCAGCTGGACCAACTTGTGAGTGAGTTTCCCATTTTCAAGGAGCGCACAATGATTTTTTTTTTGGAAGCGACGGAACGGAGCGTGGCAAACTCATGTCCCACACTGGCAGCGTGGATTATAGCCCGAGCCTTCACATCACAAGCTAAAGTCCGCCGTGTTCAGTGTTCTCCACACTCCTGCCCTACGCCCTGCGGGAGTTGCTACAAAGCACCAGGTTCCTTTAGGATAACAAGTAATTCCGATCTTCTCTTTCCCTCTCAGTCCCTTGATTGGTAGAAAAGAATGTAACCTGATTCAGAGTTTTTCGAGATGTCTGAAGTTAATCCGTAGAATTCTTCAATAGCTTGAGCGTCTATTTTCTGCAATCAGAAGGAAACCTTGTCACCCACTCAAGTGAAAGAGGAAGTCGTAGCATCTTATATGTGGAAAGTTCACAAAGCGCTTGACAGTAATTATTGTCAAAGACAAGTCGAAGACACTACGTAAGCACAAGCTGTTCACGCTAAGACTGGGTGGGACTTTCAGATCTTGGGAAGTTAAGGAATGGATTTAAGAGAATAACTTGATGCCTACGTGAGGGAAAAGGGAACAGAGGGATATAGGAGAGGGGAATGGGAGGAGCGGGGGCTCGTGTGGATTATAATGACCAGCACGGATAAATTGGCCAGAATGGCCTGTATCCATGCCATATAATTCTATGGTAACAATAAATTGGACATTCACCTATTGGTCTAAAATCAGGCATTGAATATAAGCAGGCAATCGGTCAGTTGAGAAAAATTGGTAATTGCAAAATTGATGTTTGTGAACGTTAAGAACTGCGAGTTTCCACAAAATGAAATGCAAACCATATGTGAACAACTGCACACCCACGGAGATTGTTTTGTCTTTTCTTCTCTCCCCACGGACCCATCTTTCTGAGATTTCCTCTAAAGTGGACACTTTGGCTTTCTTTTTCAGTAGCAACGCTGGCGGTAACAGCTGGATAATCCAGAGTGCTTGCCGCCTCTCACCGCGATCCGATACAGCGCATTTAGTATTCTGGAACTTTTCCACATAAGCAAGGCTAAAGCAGAAAATGACTCTTAGTATAAGAGCCGTTCATAAAAGAAGCAAAATGGCATAATAAGCTGCAGGTATTACCTCTACGATATCATCGTCAAAGAGCAGCCAGAACCCATGGCTCTTTACAATGGTGATATAATGTCCGCGATTAGGGCCGCTGCAAGGGAAAGATTTAGATGTTACTGCATGGAATTTCGTAGCGTGGAAAACCTTTAATAAATAAACATGGAACCTGGTGTTCCCTTACTCTGGATGGAGTGTTATGTAAGATTAATGCACACGGCAGTGTTTGGCAGTATAGGAGACAGGAGGTAATTGACCAACTTAAGGGTAAATTTACACCTCCACGTTCCTGCCAAAGGCATCTTTGTTTTAAGCAATTAAAACGTAATATAAGTTACTTTCCCACTTTTCCCTCCATCCCATAGTGTTCAACATCAGACTCTCCCCTACACATTCCTTCAATGGATCCAAAATTCTTCCGTTTATTCTGCAACAGACTGGGAGAGAGCCGGAAGGAGGGAAATGGTCTCGGAAGCATGTTTACTTGGGAATTTCTCCAAATGTAAATTCATTCAATCGACCAGCTGCCTGCACAGTGCACATCTGGGAAGTTGTGACCCAAGTCGGCAAAAGAACTAGACCACCGTGATATTAAACCCTTCTCTTCCCCCGTCTCCAACATCTGTAATGAATTTTAACACATTACCGAAGCTGTTCCACAGACACCTGAATTGTCTGAGTACAAGTTGAGTAACGCCTGGGTTGGACTTTGCATGATATTCACATTAGCATCTTACTGATGAAACTCAAAGAGTGAATTTGCTACGATAATAATAATCCTAACATATGATATTGTGCCTTTCAAGTCAGGAGGGCATCTCAAACGCTTCACAGGATTTCGCTATAAAGGGTGGTGACTGTACGTTTCGTAGGTGAATGTTTATTATAACCCTTGCATTTGAAATAGCGCCTCATCACGTCTTTGAGACGCCTCAAAGCGCTTCACAGAATATATTGCAAAGCGAATTGACTGTATATTTGGTGGGCGAACCGATGAGTTGGTATGAACGGTGTACAAAGGTGGAATTCACGGACTTTCTCGAGAGGAGCCTTACCTGCCACAGTGAACAACCACAGCTACAAGATCGTACAGTCGGTCTGGATTGGTGGCATCCCCTGATGTGTTAAAAAGCCTCAGCTCCAGTGGAAACACCACTCTGTAGGAGAGTTTTGTATATCGATGAAGCTGGTCCATATATTTGAACCTTTTTAAGTGCAGAGCGAGTATCATTGGAAGTTTCTTCACCCTCATTCTGCAAGAGGAGAGGGATACGGAGGAGAGGGGGATATATATGTATGTAAACAGAAATCTAACGACCAAATTTGCTCACATTTTGACATGCAGCAATGTCCAAAACAGCAACATTTCAGAAATTCAGCAGTTTAAAATGTACCTGAATCTACTACAGTAAAACGCGATTACAATAACCAGATTCATGCATAAGACTGTGCTCCAGCAATTAATCCATAACACTTGTTACAATGGAGCTAGATGTTACGGGTGCTCGGAGCAGTAAGGCCATGCGTGTCGATCCTAAAGGAAAACAAATGGAAGCAAAACTAGTAGTTTTCTCTCGCTCTGACAAAAACAGAAGACATTGACAATCTTACAAATTGTCCAAATGATAAGTTATTTTGTTCCAAATGTGCGAAATGAAAAGCATTCCCCCACCTCGCTCCCTCCACCCCACCTCCCATCTCCTGCTCGTTTCCGTAAAAAAGGATGTACTGACCTCTTTTGGGCTTCTTGCTTACTGCGACATTGCTCGCAGTAGTACTTGCATTCACTGCACAGTGTCTCCGTGTTACTGAAGCCTCTGCCAAAAGCACAGGCAAAATGGTCATGAAAATGTGACTGGGTTTTCAGCACACGAGCAGCATGAAACTTGCAAGTGTTTTTCCAATAAACATTCACCCTAAACCTTTATCGGCTGCTCTGTTCACCTCCACAGTCATTACACTTTACATTGAAATCTCGTGAAGCACTTTGGGACCCTGTCCCGACGTGATATTAAATGTTTGTCTTACAATTAAGGGAAATAACAAAGCTCTTACTGGTGAGGAAAGGAATCCCCTCTTATGAGGTTAGGTGTCGGGAAGATTGCACAGGGCTTCCACCGGAATCTAATCCGTGGCTGATGTAGAGAATAGGCGTCAAAGGCAATCGCATTCCCCCAGCACTGACATTCACTCACTAAAATAAACAACTAAAAAAAAAACTCTGCTTTCTGCAGGTTTCAGGCAATGTTAAAAAGCCACCGTGTTAATGACAGGTATGTATATGCTCAGAATCACCTTAAACAATGAGTTATCGAAGTGTTTTGTTCCACGTCAACTGAAAGATCCAAAAAGTCTTCATCTTTGCTGCTAACCTGTAGAGGAAGAGAATAATTGACCTGTAACCACCACAAACAGTCAAAAGTCCTTCAAAAGGGTAAAATGCCTCTCCCGACACTACAGCTAAAGGCTGGACCGAAGACTAAATTATTCAATTCATTACTTTTATATCATGGAATAATAAGCCTTGCATTTGGTATAGCGGATATCTCAAAGCACTTCACAGGATTTACTGTGAAATGAAGTCAAATGGGTGCTTGTAGGCAAACGGGGGGGTGGGGGAGCCATGAAGGGGTGGGGGGACTTACGGTCTCACAGTTGAGACACCGGGTTTCGTTCGTTAGCGTTCCTTGAAATATTTCGTGGACCCAGGTCGGCCTGGGCTTCTGGTGGTCCTCGCTTCTTACGCTGCCGTTCTGCAACTTGCCGTTCTGCTTCTCCTGCTTCTTCTCCTCTTGCAGCAAGTCGGCGATGGTGTTCAGCAGGTAGTTCAGGAACTCGTGAGCATCTTGCTGCATATAATTATCAAACAATTCTGTAAACCCCACCACCCCAGAAAAACAAAGAAAAAGGTGTTCAGTGACTGGAAATAGACTCACACAAAGAGTAGAACAATTTAATAATAATCCTTGCATTCGATATTGCGCCTTATCACGTCGTCAAGGCTCCTCAAAGCGCTTCACGGGATGTACGGTAGAGTGGATTGACTGTGCATTTTGTGGGCGAAACGCCGCTGCCAGTTTTGCTCAAACAGCCATCCGGCCTCCTGCTTGTCCCTCGTCCTCTACGTCCACCAGTTGCTGCCGTGCTTTCAGCCACTATGCCCCGAAAATTTTGGAACTCACTCCCTCTAAACCCTCCGCATCTGTTAAGCTCTCTGAAGGGCGCTGTATAAATGCAAGTTCCAGTTGTTATTTTAGCACAGACTGTTCTCAAAGTCATTTCCAACGCAGCCCCATTTACCATTTTCTTTCCTTAACCTTGATATGAATTTCTTGGGCGGAATCACGCCAACTTTCTTCTTCTGCGTGGCGATGCTGTTGAAGAGGTCGGACAGGCAGGTCAGCAGGCTTTCCTTCTTCCTGGGCTGTACCTTGTAGGCCAGAACCTTTTCCCGAAACGGACGGCAGAAGTAAAGCGCTTGCAAAACCGAATTGCAGTAGCAGGTATTGCCGAACTAGTGAGACGGGAAAACAAAGTCAAGATGAAGCAAAGGGAACAGGCGGCCCGGCTTCACTGTCCAAAACATATTTTTTCTTAAAAAGAATTAACGTGTAGATTTCAAGCAGGAATGGAAATGATTCTCATCTGGTCCATCCCTTCAAAATTGTTAAGGTACAGTTCCATCATTGTCAGCTCTGGTAAATAAGCTGGTGAGTTGTTAACCGGAGTTGTCCCGCTTAGGTGACAGGTGATTTAAATCGTCTTACGAACACACACGGTCGCGACCACGCACAACACAAAGCAGCGCAGATCGCTGGCCTCAAACAATTCAAACGATTCGGGTGTCACACAGGGTCCCGGGGCGCGGTGCGTGCAGCGCTGAGGTCACCTTTACCCGGCGACGGGGTTCAAAGCGTGCGAGGGTCTGCGTGTCAATCGGCTGGACTGCCAGACGCGGGAATCATCGGAAGCCCAGAAAAAGCTGCCGAACTCAGGGGATCGGGGTTTTGGGGGCTTTTTTTCTTTTGGAGAGGAATACTATTTTTTTTTGCCAATTGCATTTCACCAATAATAAAATGAAAAAAAAGGGGGAGGGGGGAGTGGGGGCGGCATTGATGGTGAAAATCGTAGAATCTCACAGCGCAGAAGGAGGCCATTCGGCCTGTCATCGTGCCTCTGCCGGCTCTTTGAAAGAGCCACCGACTCGTCCCACTCCCCAGCTCTTACCCATAGCCCTGCAAAATCGAGTAAAAGAAAAACAACTACTTTAAGAGGTCCCTATCCCTTCCCCCAATTAGGGTAAATCCAAAACTGCCAAGATTTTTCACAAGCGTAAGCGGTTTATCCTGGGCGTTGGGTACAGAGAACCTGGGGGGGGGGAAGAAAAGGACTAAAATATCCAACTGGAAAACTGCAATTGGAGTTTTGCGATTTGCATTATTAGCAAAATATTTGTAAGGTATTTAAGGCGGAGCAGGGGTGGGTGGGGTGGGGGAGGGCGGGGTGGGGTGGGGTGGGGCTGCGAAGAAGAGAATAAGAAAAGAAAAAGGCTTTATGAAATAAAAGATAGCTACCTGGCACTGCGAGCAGTCCCAGGCCCCATACTCCACACGTAACTGCACAAGCGAATGCGGAGGAGCGGACAGACTGCTCTGGTGTGCTACTCCGAGCTGTCTGAAATCTCGCCATGTGGTCGAGGAGGCTGCCATTATAGGATGAGAAAGATCCATCCTGAGAGAGGAATATATATAAAAAAAAAACGTACAGCAGGCAAAGAAAATGCAAAGTGATCTAAAAAGAAAAAAAAAAACAACCACCACCCCTCTCGTCCTCTACTCCCAGCAATCCATCTCCCACCAAAGCCCTCCCCGCTCACCCACCCGGGGGAAAACATCCCGTTCTTGCTTTTACTCTTGTGAAAAAGATGAAAACTTTGGAAGTCCCTTTGTGTTGAGTGGACTAAGAGAAGCCTGGGATCGCTGCCCTATTGCACCTCGCAGCGCAAGTGACCCGATTAAACAATCAATGAAATTCCTTCCAAACCGGTCCCTGGTTATAGAGGTTTTTTTTCAAAAAAAATGGTGTTTTAAAAGGAGACATTTTAACGGTCGATGAAACTTTTTAAAAAAAAAATAGGCAAATTGGAACGATCGTCGCAAACGTTACAGGGTCTTCAGGGGGGAAATTAGCCATAACTCACATTGACTAAGCCAAAGTAATGTTCGTTTACGGGAAACTGTTCTGGCCCAATCTCTTTCTCCAATGCGGAGGCATTGGCGCCCTGAAAACATACACACAAAAACAGTTACACACAAAAGAATCAAAGCAACGAACCGTTACACCTTTTCCAACGCTTCTGATCCAGTAAAATCCGGCGAAGTGCTTTCAGACATTCTTGAGAACGCGATAAGGCGCTATTATCCAATACACAAGATTATTACTGAAGCGTTTCTGAAACGAGGGAAAATAATTTTCACCCCACGCAACCTCTTAAAGGCGCAGTCCATCGTTATCAGGATACAAACCATTATTGATTTGTAAAATCCAGCTGTCGTCCGGTAACAAAGAACTGGTTTCGGTCAATAAAGGAGCTTAATACGCCTCTCCTCTTCCTATACGGAGGCGTTTCGAAGCGAGAAGGATATTTTGGAGGGTAAAGACATTCGGGGGAAGCGGAACAGGTGGGAGGGAGAAAGGGGATTAAAACGATGGAGGCATTCTGTGAAACACTGAAATGACAGAGACAGTCTCAAAGGGCCACCCACATGACTTCGCTCTCCCTATAAGATGTCTAAAAGATCAATGAGTCAGAATTCATGGATCCATACTCCATTGCCAAATCCAATTCCTCGGCACGACAGAGTGAGTGATGTTATTCCTCCGTCAACAACAAGAAATTACACTTATATCGCGGCTTTCACGTCAGTGGGACGTCCCAAGGCGGTGTACAAGGAAGAGTTTGCACCTGAACTGGGGGCTGGAGTCAAGGGGGTTGGAGGGCAAAGGGGGATGGAGGTGGGAAGATGATCGGAGGCGCGGTCGAAGAGTAAGGTCTTGGAAGGAAAATAAATAATTTTTTTAAAGAATTTCACAAAAAAATGTTTTTATGGATTAAGAAAAGGTGGAAGGAATTTCATTCGATCGTTTCACTCACGCGCACTATTGAGTTCAACGTTAAAAAAAAAATCACACGGCACGTCCTCTCAGATTTCCACGACCATTTCCTCAATTTATAAACGAAGCGGCAAATTACTGCAGGGCTGATCTTCTTCTGCCCTCCTGTGTCTTCTGCACACTTCATAAATATTAAATGCGTAAATGTGCCACTAATCAATGCTGCACAGAGCTTGATTTTCGTTTAAAAAAAAGCTGTTTACTTTACGGAGAGCTTTGGACCTTCACCATCGTGGAATCTCAACAGCTCGTGGGACTGGGGGTGGGTTGAGCATTGATTGCGCTGTTATAATCCTCGGTTTAGTCATAAGCTAAATTTCACGTCGATATCGTGTGACTGGGCCTGCGGTGCTGCCAATGTGTACAAGAGCAGATAGTCTAATCACATTGGAAGTATTCAGGGGGGTCCGACGTTAAATTCCGAACAATACCCCATTCGGCCCCGACTTAAATGCCGACACAGAAACGGCAAAGGTAGGCGGGCAAAAAATAGATCCATTTGTAGTGCTCTGACAGACCCAGATTGATCTGTTCCTATGAGGGCAGAACTTGCCCGTCGTTCCTGAAATGGTACGGCTCGCAAGTTAAAAGAAACCGAGTCAGACAAAGGGAACCCAGTAAAAATCAGAGGCTTGACGTGAACCGTTAGCGACGGAACACGGCAAAGCTGGAGCCCGAAGACCTCGCGAAGGTTCCTGCAGAAAGTTAGTTCACGATTCAAACGGCCACCATGGTTCGCTCTCGCGCCACTCTTCTCGAGCACTGCAGAGCACGGAGGTTTTATGCATTTACACGCGTCCCCAAAGGACTTGGTTTCGACGGTTCCCGACAGCCCTCTGAGCGCAGACACAGTACTTGAGCTGGAGCACAGTGAAAATCGATAGCTACCGCTGTAAATGACAACGGTCCCATTAATGGACACGTCGCAGCTGCAGGAAGTGAAAGCTGCAAACATATTGTACGTCTATTTAGCTATAATCATGAAAAATCAACTCCCGCAGCCAAAGAATAACCCCGGACTCCGCCAGAGCAGAAAGCCTTCGGATTTTTTTCCACTGCAAATGACCTGAAAAAGACAACGTGCCCTTTTCCTCTTAAATATATGCCATCAACTGCTCCCAAATTCAATTGGCGGTAAAGGCAGGTTACCGGTACAAAGAAGCTGCGGCAATAAACACTCCTGACAACTAAATTAAAGGAGGATTTCCGGCCTTTACTGACGAGGGTAAGCTTCGTAGACCGATAATGCTTTGCAGACTGACTACTCGAAGAGCTAAAGAGCAAACACTGAAAACCACAGAAGGGGCATAAACGAACGCAGGGAAGACGTTCATCGGGAGAAAGCGGCCAGGAAGTGAGTGGGTAATTTTATCCGGGGTGGGGGGTTGGGGGTGGGGGGTGGGGGGGTTGTTGGGCCGGGATCTCAGCGGCAACTCCCTTCTCCGTCTGAACAGCGCCACGAGATAACGTCCACCGGAACATGAGAGAGGTCGTCGATTCTCACCCGGAGGACGGAGCCTCCAAAAATTGCGTGGAGCGTTTTTGAGATATATTTTTTACACACACACACACGCGCGCGCGCGCGGACACTAAAGGCTGCGTATATTTAAATGGGGGGCGGGGGGGTGGGGGTGGGGGGGCCGTGCCGGTTGGGAATCAGCTCTCAAAACGAATCTTCATCAAACGGAAAAGGATTAAATCTCTGCAAAACCGCACGGAGGACAAAACCGATCGGAACCCCGAAAAACCCGGGACGTACCCGATGCCGAGTGCGGAGACGTTTTTTTTTGGGGGGGGGAAAAAAAGGAGAGAGAGAGAGAGAGAGAGAGAGAGAGAGAGAGAGAGAGGGGGATCCGGGGTTACTTTTCAATAAACGAACACATGAAGAGCGAAACGGAAGTTTGACACAACATTCCCCCATTGAACCTCATCTGATGGCAGTTTGGACAGTGGACGCGGTTCTCCCGGGAGTCAGTATTTCGATTGTCAACACATACATTTAGACCCTCTTTTTACTCGCTTCACACACACGGTTTTTCAGGCTAAAACTTCGACAATAATAATAATAAGAACAAGATAATAATAATAATAAGATAATAATAATAATAATAAGATAATAATAACAAGATAATAATAATAACAAGATAATAATAATAAGATAATAATAATAAGATAATAATAAGATAATAATAATAACAATAAGATAATAATAATAACAACAAGATAATAATAATAACAAGATAATAATAATAACACGATAATAATAATAATAACAAGATAATAATAATAATAACAAGATAATAATAATAAGATAATAATAATAATAAGATAATAATAATAAGATAATAATAATAATAATAACAAGATAATAATAACAAGATAATAATAATAAGATAATAAGATAATAATAATAAGATAATAATAATAATAATAAGATAATAATAATAACAAGATAATAATAATAATAACAAGATAATAATAATAACAAGATAATAATAATAAGATAACAATAAGATAATAATAACAACAAGATAATAATAATAATAAGATAATAATAATAATAATAACAAGATAATAAATAATAATATAATATAATAATAAGATAATAATAAGATAATAAGATAATAATATAAGATAATAATAATAACAACCGCCACAACGATCCTCGCATTCTTCTGTAGCCCCTCATCCATCGCGTCCTCGAGACGAGGCGCTGGACAGCGGGAGCGCTGCGAAGCGCCTCGAGGCGCCTGGAAGACGGGATAAGACGCCGCATCAAAGGCGAGGCTTATCCTTAATTATTATGATGAATTATTATTATGATGATACTATAATTATGATGAATTATTGTTATTATTATTATGATTATTATTGCTGCCGTTTGCGACGCAACCCCTTGATTCGAGGCAACCCCCTGATTTCGGACACAACCCCGAAATTTTTATGCTCATCTGATTTCAGGTACAACCCCCCCACCCCCCCCCCCCCCCACCCCCCCCTTTTGAGACACAGGACCCCCTCTCCCTTCTCCCCCCCACCCCCACCCCACCCCCCCCCCCCAGGGGGTCTCTCTCAGGCAGTGCCACCCTCTGAAAGCCTGAGGTTTATTTATAGCTCTCTCCCCCCCCCCCCCCCCCCCCCACCCCACTCTCTCTCCCCCACTCTCTCTCCCCCCCTCACACACTCTCTCTCCCCCCCTCCCTCCCCCCCTCTCTCCCCCACTCTCCCCCACTCTCTCTCCCCTCATCTCTCTCCCCCTCCTCTCTCTCTCTCCCCTCTCCCCCCACTCTCTCCCCCTCTCTCTCCCCCCCCACTCTCTCCCCCCCACTCTCTCCCTCCCCCTCTCCCCCCCACTCTCTCTCCCCCCTACTCTATCCCTCTCTCTCTGCCCTCTCCCCCCGGTGCTGGGGTCCGGGCCCCCCGGTACCCCCCCGCACTCTCCCCCCCGGTGCCCCCCTCTCCCCGGTGCCCCCCTCCCCCCCCGGTACCCCCCTCTCCCCCCCCCGGTGCCCCCCCCCCCCGGTGCCCCCCCCCCCGGTGCCCCCCCCCCTCACCATGGTACAGATGGAGGCGAGTTTCCTGACAGTCATCAGCGCTTCCATCCGCCCACCGCCGCCATGTCCCCCCCCGCGGCCCCGTCACACCCACAGCCCCGGACACACAGACACCGCCCCCTGGCGGCCCCGCCCCGCACCGCACCCCCGCCCCGCACCGCACAGCGCCGCACCGCACAGCGGGGGGGGCACTGTGGGGGGGAGCAATGAGGGGAGTGTGGTTGGGGGTAGGGGAGGCACTGGGGGGGAAGGGGGAGAGTTGTGGGGGAGAGGGGTGAGTTGGGGGGAGGGGGAGAGTTGGGGGGAGGGGGGAGAGTTGGGGGGAGGGAGGAGAGTTGGGGGAGGGAGGAGAGTTGGGGGGGAGGGGGGAGAGTTGGGGGGGAGGGGGAGAGTTGGGGGGAGGGAGGAGAGTTGGGGGGGAGGGGGAGAGTTGGGGGGAGGGAGAGAGTTGGGGGGGGAGGGGGGAGAGTTGGGGGGAGGGGGGAGAGTTGGGGGGGAGGGGGAGAGTTGGGGGGGAGGGGGGAGAGTTGGGGGGGAGGGGGAGAGTTGGGGGAGGGAGGAGAGTTGGGGGGGGAGGGGGAGAGTTGGGGGGAGGGGGAGAGTTGGGGGGGGAGGGGGGAGAGTTGGGGGGAGGGGGGAGAGTTGGGGGGGAGGAGGTGGGGAGAGTGGATGGGATGGACAATGCAGCGTTTCACCCCGCGCCCCCCACCCCCACCCCGTGCCCCCCACCCCCACCCCGCGCCCCCCACCCCCACCCCGCGCCCCCCACCCCAACCCCCACCCCGCGCCCCCCACCGCCACCGGTTGAGTCGGGGCTCCCGTCCAAAGCGGAGAGGTCTTTGATACCCCCCAACGCCGACGTCCCCCCCCCCACTTTGCTGGAAACGCGCACACACACACACACGCGCGCGCGAAGTCCTTCGGGGCTCTCCGTTCGCACGACTTAATATCGTTCTACGTACAAACGGTTTTCTTTTCGTTTGTTTCTCTGTGCGGACGCGGACATTTATCCTTTCTTTTTTTTTAAAAAAAAACGGACCCAGAAAGAAAGAAAGAAAGAAAGAAAGAAAGAAGAAGAAAAAAAAAATCCGAACAGCCTTCAGCCTCCGCGTCCCAACGCCGCCGCCGTCCCGGGTCTCCGGGACTCGCTCCGACGCGAAGGGCGTTGCGTGAAAGAAAGGCACGAGCGGCCGCGCTGACTGCGGCGAGTCCTGAGCCGCCTCGGTTCACGCAAGTTACTCCTTAAATATTATTATTATTATTATTATTATTATTATTATTAAAGTCCAGCTCTGCTTCCATCAGATTTTTCTTGCGTACCGAAGGAGAGAGCGAGAGAGAGAGGGAGTGAGTGAGAGAGTGAGTGAGAGTGTGAGAGTGAGAGAATGAGAGAGAGAGTGAGAGTGAGTGAGAGTGAGTGAGAGTGAGTGAGAGAGAGAGTGAAAGTGAGAGAGTGAGAGAGAGTGAGTGAGAGTGAGTGAGAGAGAGTGAGAGAGAGTGAGAGAGTGAGTGTGAGAGAATGAGAGAGAGAGAGTGAGAGAGAGTGAGTGAGAGAGAAAGAGAGAGAGAAAAAAGGAGTGAGTGAGTGAGTGAGAGTGAGAGAGAGAGTGAGTGAGTGAGTGAGAGTGAGAGAGAGAGTGAGTGAGAGTGAGTGAGAGTGAGTGAGTGAGTGTGAGAGAGAGTGAGAGAGTGAGTGTGAGAGAATGAGAGAGAGAGTGAGTGTGAGAGAATGAGAGAGAGAGAGTGAGAGAGAAAGAAAGAGAGAAAAGAAGGAGTAAGTACCCTATTGGACGCTGTGGGTTTTGCCTCCACCCCTCCCTCTGTGTCGGGTTGGATCCTGATGTTAAAACTGCGTGACACATTCCGTCCGGTGAGGCTTGGAAGGCTTTGGGAGCTCGGTCGGGGGCAGAGGCTCGGGGCTGTCCGCTTCAACCGTAGGAACGCCCTCGGGGTGAAGGGAAAGGCAAAGAAAAAAAAAAAAAACGGGGTCCGTCGGGGCGGGAGGGGAAGCTGGAGCCGGTTTGGCCGGACGCGATCCGTTTTATTGCCGATCGTTAACCGCCGTGGACACCGCGGGGTCTCGTAAATGCGTCCCCTGCGGCAGGACACCATGTCAGCCGGCTCCAGCAACTTTCTCCTGCTTCCCATCCCGGAGGTACCCGAGCTGGACTGCGCGCGCTCCCTGAAGCTCGTGGTGCTGGGGGGCAGAGGCGTCGGCAAGACGGGTAAGAAAGTGTAAAAGGTGTGTGTGGGGTGCGGTGGGGTGGGGGGGGGTGGGTGGGTGGGTGGGTCGGGGTGGGGGCGGAGATTCCCCTCCCGAGCACCGCACCGCACCGCACCGCACCCCGGACGCCCGCCGGTCCAAATAACGCTAATACTCTCAGCTTTCGATACAGCCCCTCGTCGCGTCGTTGAGAGACGTCTCAAAGCGCTTCGCAGAATATGCCGTAACGTTGGGAAGTGGACTGACTGACTGTGCATTTTGTGGGCTGAACGCAGCAGCCAATTGCGCACAGCGCACTGCGTTTCCCACAAATAGTCGTGGGTTGAGTGACTTTTGGAGGGATTATTACCCTCTTGGGGTCGGGGTCGGGGTGGGGGGGGGGGGGGGTTTAAACCCCAGATGCTCTTGACCTTAATGCTTAAACCGCAACATTATTAACCCATTCACCAACCGGTTCCCATGCCGCTTCCCTGAATCTTGACCGGTTTGAACGCTGCGAGACCCTACCCGGCGTGGTAGGGCGGCGGGGTGTACGTGCAACTTGTTGTTGTTGTGGTCTACATAGCTGTCGCTCCTTAACACAGCAAAGTCCAGCTTCCCCTGGACGGTAACCACCGGGGCTAATGATTAGCTTCCAGGGACTGAGTGCCTCGATTTTTGAAGGGTGGCTGACAAACAGGGATCGTAACTTTTAGCTTCTACCTTGTAAACGAATGTACAAATCAGTCCTTTCACTTTTCCACTCTCCCCACCTTTCACGCGGGCTGTTGCCCCTCTAACAGGCGATTACGAATGACTACTTTCGAACGGATCTGTCTCAGTCGAGCGGGATCGATCTTTTTGTTCGGTGGGAAGACGTGCTTGAAAATAATGGGTGTGAGCTGGTCAGATGAAGGGGGTTTTGGCTGCTCTCAACTTTCACTTACTTTTTATTATTCCGCCTGTTAAGTCTCAATCCCTCGCAATCAGGAAGGAGCAGAAGGGAATACAGTAGGGTGGAAACTCAAGTGAGTTAGTCACGCCAGTTTCATGGCTCATTTGCTTTTCCCAGTTATATCTATATATATATATAAACATGTTGAGGCAGAAGCCTATGTTCTGATACAATGGAAAAAACTCAAGGGTCTTTCACAAAGTTGATTACACATGTTTTTTCCATCAACATCGAAAACTCGTCACTCCGGCTGGATAGGGCTCAGTGACAAGTTATCCGGAGTGGCGAGTTAGGCAGGTGTATAAATATATAGATAAATGCGGATATTAACAGCGGGCTGTCTTAAGTGGTAGTGACAAGTTAAGCCAGGGTCGAGTTATCGGGTGTTTACATATATATATATATTTATATTTTACAGCTTTGATTGTCCGATTTCTCACAAAACGATTCATAGGTGATTACGAGCCCAACACAGGTACGTACGTACCATCTCCATAAACTCATCGGATACCTTCACGTCCTCCAGGAAAGCATTTGTTACGAACTAAATAGTGTTTCCATCTAACTCCAGGGGCTCTCTATGCAAGGCAGATTATTATCGACGGGGATCACATTTCATTGCAAATGCAAGAAACGCCATATGCTTCTCAGGTAATCTGATTTTGTTTTTAAAAAAAAATCTAGATTTGTGCAAAAAAAAAACCTCCTCTCCCGCGAAAGACCCCAATCGACTGCGTTTCAGCCGCAAGAAAAATATACCCAGTGAATTCACTTTACAGTATATTCCGTGAGGCGCCATTTAAATGACGTATAAGGCGCTATATCAAATGCAAACATTATTAATATTATCAAATGTCAAATGTTCTTTCATTATTTCTCTGTTTAGTGCTGATAATGCCACTGGTTTGAAAGTGATAATGGATCGTGTGGTCCTCACAATGGAACTACCAGCTCGTTCTGCTTTCGAGGCAAGCTGGGTGAATAGCTACAGGAAATCAAACAGGGTACAATGCATTGCACTGCTGTCATCTTTCAATCCAGTTCCTCTGACGACTCAATCCACAACATTGTTTTGAAAAACAACTAAATACAGTAATAATAATAACCTTTATAGGTATAAGCGCCTCATCACGTCATTGACACGTCTCAAAGCGCTTCACAGAATATACTGCAAAGTGAATTGACTGCACTTTGTGGGTGAAACGTCGTGAGTTATATACTACAATATCGTATGATGACATTGACTCAAGCAATGCTTTGAAATGACCTTGCAAACCCACGAAGAGACACGAACATTTGCAAGAGTCGGTAGTTAAAAGAGTTAAAACTAGTATGAAATAATTCTTATGGAGGTTCCTCACACGTCTCTGTTAATATTCTGTTCAGAATCAGGGATCTGGGAGGAATGGTCCAGGGCAGCTCTTGACCCTGTGGGAACAGATATACTTTCAGTCAGAGGAAACTTGAAGCGATGGCACTGTGGAAAATTACCCTGGTTCTTTTTTCGGTGAATTTTTGCGCTTGTCAAAGATGGCAAGCCATTTCAGGCATCCAGTGTCAGGAGACAAATACTCTCGAGGTCACGTCCTGTAAAGCACAGCTCACTGCGGTGATGGACATTTCCGCTCGATTAAAGGAAGAAGCTTGATGCCGTTAGTGATCATAAAATAAAAATAATAATCTTTGCACTTGGTATATAGCGCCTGCCTTATCACGTCGGAAGGACGTCTCAAAGCGCTTCACAGGATTTACTGTGAAACAAAATGACTTATGTTATTTGATAGCAAACCTGACGGAACAATTGCACACCGCAATGTCCCACAAACAGTCATGGAGTGAGTGAACAACTTTATTTTGGGGGGAGGGGGTGGGGAGGGATTATTGTCCGGGACACCGGGAGAGGGAAACTCCCTTCTCTTTTCGAATAGGGCCGTGGGATCTTTAACGTCCACCTCGACAGGCAGATGTCTCACCCGAAGGACGGCATCGCCCACAATCCAACGCACCCCCGTTACTGCACTGATGGTTTGCAAAGTCCATCTGATTTTGACAAGCTGAACCTGTGACCTAGTTTGCTACGTTTCGTTTTACTGAAAAGATTGCTTCCATATGAGCTTTCCGAACTTTAAATAAACTGATTAGTGACCAAAAAAAAAAGTCCGCCCAAGTATGCGATGTTTATTAACTTAGATCACTTGCCAATTGCCTCTGTAGGGATCAGCACTAAATCTCCCTCACCTTAATTAAAGCCCAGTTCAGAAGGCCGTCTTCCTTAAGATGTTCGTGCATTAGGATCAGTACCTGTGCCTTGGCTAATAGGTAAACAGGGGCGATTTAGAGACTATGTTCAAATATTATATTAATCTTCCCCCCCCCCCCCGGCTCAGTGGTGTGCTACTCCACTGTCAAGCGCTCTAGGACGATACCCTGTGTGAGTGGCGCTATGTAAATGCAAGTTGTTATTATGCTGGACTACGAAAGTGCTGACCTCCTAAACTCCCCCCAACCCCCAGCGATGGAGTGCAAGTTCTTCATCCTCTCCTTCAAGGGCCTCAACGCACTCACCCCCTCACGTCCTCTGCGACTCTGCTTACAGTGCTTGTGCAAAGAGCCGACGATTAACAGGTTAACACATCACCAAGCCGGGGAGAGGGAGAGGTTGGGGGGGGGAAAATTAGCAGCAACCACAGCAAAAACTTTCCAAAATAAACATTTTAGAAACTCCACATGCTTTCCATTAGTTATTCTATTTAAAATAAGGGCCGAAAGAGGGTCGAGGATGGCGCTGGCAACGGACAGGCATTTTTGATGCAACAGTTCGAGCAACTACTGTACTGTGGAAACAAAAACATACCCAGGCCAAGTAGATTTCCAGATCAATTTGTACACATTTGGGCAATTTTAGGAAAGCTTTGTACTCAGTTACCCTTAGAAAACGCTCACTTTATTTGTTTTTAAGCCGACGGGTGCTCTGAAACATAACGGGGCTGAGCTGACTGCTTGATCCTGATCGCTCGGACAGTAGGTGGGTGGGGGAATGATGTGGGTGGGAGAGGATGGATGCATGGAATTCTCAGCTTGTTTCGGAGACTCTTAAGCGACGGTGATGGGTTTCCGTGTGTGTCAGAAACCAAAAGTTCCTCAAGCCAACACAATCACGCTGCCTGTGTTTCCCCGCCAGCCTGAGACAGAGGACCATCGCAGCCAGGAGGTGCTGACCCGCTCGCTTCACTGGGCGGACGGCTTTGTCTTTGTCTTCTCACTGACGGACATGGAGAGCTGCCGTGCCATCCGCCCCATCCACCAGCAGGTGAGGAAGCTCATCCCGCACGCCAGGCTCCCGCTGGTGCTGATTGGGAACAAGGCCGACCTGCCCCACGCACGGCAGGTGGACACCACCGAAGGCGTGCGGCTGGCCAGCGAGATTGGAGGGACGTACTTCGAAGTCTCGGCCAGGGAGAACCACAGCGAGGTCTACGATGCCTTTCACCATATCTGCCAGGAGGTCAGCAAAGCTTCGGGGAGCGGCAATGGGGAGAAGAGGAGGGGCCTCCTCTCATCTCGACCCAGATCCCCAAACATGCAGGACTTGGGCAGGCGTTTGAAACAGGCCCTTTCGTCCAAGGCCAAACCCAACAACATGATCTGAGGCCTGGCTCTGTGGGCAGAATGTAGACATTTTATGGTGGTTTTGAGGATGAAAAACGAAACTGATCGAGGGTTTTAAAAAAAAATTGGGATGATCCGATACGGCGCCTTTCACGTTGGCAAGACAGTCTCAAAGCGCTTCACAGGTCTTACCGTAAAGTGTAGTGACTGTGTATTTTGTGGGCGGACGCGGCCACCGATTTGTACCCAGCCAGCGTCCCACAAACAGCCAATGGCCGATTTTATCAGGGGAGGGGGCTTGTTGGTCAAACAGTCTCAGGGGGTCTTTAATGTTGATATAAACCACCAGGTGGGACCTCAGTTCCACATCTCACTTGAAGGACGGCACCTCCGACAATGCCGCACATCCCCCAGCACTGACTGGAATAAAAGCCGAGACTGTGAATTGAAAGTCCCGATCTTCGTTCGTTATCCATACGTACTTTTGCAGAGCAGACTGGCGAGGCTGGCTATCTCTCATTTAGGAGAGCTAACCGAGCGATCTTTAACATCCCCCTGAACAGATGGAGGGGGTGTCGTTTTCATATTTCATTCTTGCTCTGCACTGTCAGCCTGGAGTACGTGACATCAATTTCTCCAACGTGGAGCCTTGAAACCACAACCATCTGACTCAAGAGGTGAGAGCGCTGCAAGCTGAGCCGGGCTGACACCTGTCCAGTGGATGTACAAAGGACTTCTCAGCTAAGTGAATGGGGTTGGGTGGGTGGGAGGGGGGGGAAAGGCAAAGGTTTCATCACCCCTTTATTTTACCCGGCTATTTCTACTGCACAAATTGAACGTTAATCCCACTAATAAAGAGAGCACCGAGTTTTTCTTTTTTGAAAAAAAATTAAAGTGCGGAAATAAAAATGAACTGGTCGTCCCAATGTGTCCGGTCATCTCTCTCTCTCTCTCTCTCTCTCTCTCTCTCTCTCGCTCTCTCTCTCGTCAACATTTACAACACCCAGCTCGATGCTGTGTTGGGGCGATAGTAGGGTGAGCGTTCGAGTTGATCTAATGTGCCTTCCTCATCCGAACCCACGTTGTGACTCTTCTTGGTAACTCAGTCAGTGTAGTTCCTGAATCCCCTCTGGAATTCCCCCCCCCCCCACCCCGCTCTATGGATCGACTTCCCTCTTAAATGCTCGTAACCAAGGCTTCTGACAGCGAGATCCACTTTCTCGCCATCCTCTGTTAAAAGAACTTTCCTTTGGCAGTCCCGTCAGCTCACAGAGCTGTCAGGACAGACTGTTCCTTTGGCTTCCAGGCAGAAACCGAGGACTTTTCGACCGTACCTTCTGTGTAGATTGACCAAGTAAACAGAAATTACAGTCACTCGCAGCAACAGCTTTTAACACGGGGGATAAGCACATAAGAATTTGCTAGTCGAAAGAAGACCAAGGTCCATCTAGTTCACCTTCCACCATGCTGGCAGTCGCTTGGCATGTTGTGTCTCAAACTATATACTATAGTTGGAGGTTGGAACCTTGACTCTGACCAGGGATCACTTTTAACCCCGAGATCAGTCTCGACCATGACCTCAGAATATTTCACATCAAAGAATAAACACCTGCAAAACCTCTTCACCACCACTGAATATCACCAGGGTCCCGAGACAACAGTCCTACTCCATTGTACTCCCAAGAGCAATTAACTGGAATTGGCACAATCCTGTCCCAAAGCTAAGCTGACTCCAGCTCTGGAGATATCTTAACCTTTTCCCCAATCATTCCTTCCCTTTTTCCAGGAATCTTTCCTGGCCCCGGTGACTGACTAGAAGCCAGGAACATTTTTCCTTCTGCTGCGGAACATGGATGGAAGACTTTTAAGAGCAGCCAAGACTTGGCAAAATCATCTGGAAAAAAAATGTGTAGGTGGCATGTATTTGTGGAACTATAGCGTATACGTAAGAGCACTTGCTTCGCAAGCAAGGTGACCTGGGTTTGATTCCCAGGGCGAGCGAAACCTTAGGCACGTTTCCTTACTCCACACTCCTCTGTTTACCTTACAGAAAGTAGGAACCCGATAGTCGATTGGTTGGATTGCTTTCCAGGGGTAATTCAAGGGTAATTTGAGACGTCTCCAAGACGCGAAAAGCGCTATATCAAATGCAAGGATTATTATAATGACATTATAAATAATCCTTCAAAAAAAATAATAAATGGGTCGCTCAACCCACCTCGTTGAGACATCTCAAAGCGCTTCACAGAATATACTGTAAAGTGGATTGACTGTGTGTTTTGCTCACGGCAGTCAGTGTCCCACACACAGTCGTAGATTGACCAAATTATTATCAGCTTTTTGAACGGATTATTACAGTAAAATCTGCACTTGGCCGCGATCGCGTGTGGAGTGCTGTGAGGCGTTTCGGGCACTGGAAAAACAAGATACCAATGAGCTACATACACACTGGCTAAAGACTGCAGGAGGAAATCAGTGAAGAATCCTGGATTCAGCATAGTTCAACGAGATTGGCATTCTTACATCTGTTTTGACAAGTTGGGGGTCAACTACTTTGAACTGCTGCAGCCATTTGCGTGTTGACTAATCGCAGTGGAATTTGTTTTTTTTTTGCATCTGGTGGTGATTTTATTTCCCATTGACTAATACGTCCAACTTAAAGAGGCAGATCGCCATATCCCGGTATAACACAAGAGGCTGATTAATACAACACTGTCCAGACTTCCAGCCCTTTACAGCCCACCGTCCTTTCATTTCCTAATCACGCAGCTTCAAGTCAGTGATGGGTTTCCTGTTCCCGGTTCTTACACCGATGCGCCAACTCAATGCAAAAATAATCGCTGCCACGTTTTGCCTACGATAACGCACAGTCACTGCGCACTGAACTCCTGTGATGGGCTTTGAGATGTTACGATGGCCCGATGAGGAGCTATATCAAACGCGAGGATGGCTATTATTAAAATCTCTGCCCCTTATTACACTGCGAAACGTCTCAAATCGCTCCGCGGAGTTTTCCTTTCCTTTCTGCAAAGTGTAGTGACTGTGTGTTTGAAGGGCAGCCAATTTACACCCAGCAACGTCTCACAAAGAGGAAGGAGGTGAGCGAGCAATCTTTTTTTCTTAACCCGTCAACCAGGTCACCGAGAGAACTGGCAACAGACACGATGGGCTGAATTGTCTTCTTCCGTGCTGACGCTGTCTCTCTTTCTATACTTTTCTGTGCATAGAAAGAAAGAAATTGCTGTTAAAACTAAGGATCGTCCTCTACATGAAAAAGGAATTGGGATGACATCGAATTCACTTTACAATCCTTTAGTTAAAGTGAGCGATTGGATTGGGAATAGACAGAATATGGTTCTGATGAGGAATGTTCATTAAATTTGAATTGCCTGCTGCAATCTCAAGCAAACCTGACCTCTGTTGGCCATCATCTGCCCTCGATGCCCTGTTCAGGCGGACATTAAAGATCCTGTGGCACTATTCCAAAAGACAAGGGACCTTCACCTGTTGTTCTGGCCAACAATCCCCCTCTCCTCCCTCCGCCAAATAAAACTGGTTGCTGTTGCTGTGCGCAAATTCAAAGGTTATTTAACAAAATATATGATAATAATAATAATCTTTGCGTTCGGTCTCACGTCAGAAGGGCGACTCAAAGCGCTTCACAGGATTTACTGTGAAATAGACAATTACGCACAGCAACGTCCCACAAACAGCCAGGAAATAAAATGATCACTTATTTTATACGTGTTAAATATATCTATATTATTAATATTAATAGGTATATTATTAATGTATGCATTATATATTACTTATTAAATATATTTGATATATATTTAATATATGTAATAATGTGAATAGATTTGGTATAGTTAACAGTACAAATATATGTAATAATAAAATATGTTTAATATATTTCATATATTGCATTTTACAAAATATATTTTATGATCTCAACACCTCGACTGTGACGCAGGTGTTTGTTTCAACGCACACTGAATTGCTCACGAAGCTTGCATTCCTCCCGCTCTAGTCTGCCCTGCACCAGATGGAGCTCAGCTATATGACAGAAAATAATAAATAATTCATAAAAATCGAGGCTTCTTGGTGAGAGAATAATCAGGGCTGTTTCCGATTTGTTCCCATCCTGGGATCACAGGAACTTTTCAAATCGTGTCTGTTTTATTTGCTCAGGCGGGTTCCAGGCTCACGTGGAAACCGAGCACTGTGCTTCAGAGAATCTAAACGGAGACTGAGGGCTCAATTTTTTTATTTTGGGGTTCTGACACATGCGGAAGCCCATCACCGTTGCTTAAGAGTCTCCAAACCAAACTGAGATTTCCATGTGTCCCACCTACACACGGGAATCCCAGAGATAGATTGTTGGAATGGAATGAGCTCTCTCTCCCCCTCTCTTCCTGCTCACCTAACTGCGCATAATATTAGGGGCAGGTTGGCAAGAGCCAAGGCTTGGAGACCTCAGAGTCTCTGTTGGATTAACTACTGTAGTCTAACCAGCTAAAACCGCGTGGCTTACCATTGATAGCGCTGTCTGCCAAGCTTCCCATTGGGTTCTCCCCACAGCCTTGGCTCTCGCCAACCTGCGCCTAATACTCTCCAGAATTAGGTCAGCGGTATGCGTCCCTCCAGGGAGGGAGAGGGAGAGAGAGAGAGAGAGGGAGAGAGTGTGCATTCCATTCCAACAATCTATCTCTGGGATTTTCCATGTGTAGGTGGGGGCCTGGAACTCGCAGTTTGCTTTGGAGACTCTTAATGGGTTTCCTCACGTGTCAGACACCCGGTTGTGACCCCCCCAAAAAAAACTAGTGCTCCCGTGCTGGGAGAGAACGGAACTCAGCTCGTCACCTTGGAGAGCGCAAGGTACAGAAGGGTGATGTCGCAATCTGTCAATGATTAGGTTGGAAGTAAAAAAAAATGCCCCTTTCCCTGCCAGGGAGGCAGAGCTGACGTCCGTTCGGAACTGTTCGTTTCTCCTAAGTGCAGACAAATCCGGGAGGTTTTGGTAAACATTCGCTTAACTGTTACTAGGCAGAGCAATTCAGCGCAGAGAGCCGGCCTTGGAGAAAAGGCCATCCAGATACTGTATCAGCTCCGCGCTGTCGCGAGTCCATAATAAATACTCACCGAGCCGTTCCG